GTATGACTTAGGCAGTATGGTTTAGAAGAATGTTTTCTGTAGTGGAAATCAGAAGTTCTGAATTTTTTTTCAGACAGGGTCTTTATCACCCAGGTTGGAGTGCAGTGGCACAATCTCAGCTGACTGTAGTCTCAACTTCCTGAGCTCAAGCAATCCTCCCACCTCAACCCCACAGGTACCTGGGACGACAGGCACGTGCTACAATGGCCAGCTAATTTTTTTGTATTTTCTTTTGTAGATATGGGGCCTCACTATGTTGCCCAGGCTGTTCTTGAGCTCCTGGACTTAAGCAGTCCTCCCACCTCAGCCTCCCAAAGTGCTAGGATTAGAGGCATGAGCCACTGTACCTGGCCAGAAGTCCAGGATTTTAATTTGGGGATAATGCTGCCACATAGGTGTGATGTGATGCTTAACGTTTCTGAGATTGGGTATAAAAACAAAGGAGTTGAAATGGTGGACCTTTAAAATTCTTTCCAGTATGAAACATTCTGATTCTTATTTACTTTATTAATACTGAACTATTGTGGAGTTTTCAAATTCACTGGCTCCTGGTTTATTGTTGAGAAAAACATTGAAACACAACTAAGATCTTTCATGAATCATCTTTCTTGAATTTTCTAAGAAAGAAGAAATTATTTAAAATATTTATATTTTTACTCTATCAAGTGTTCTTGTTTTTTTTTTTTTTTTTTTTTTTTGAGATGGAGTCTTGCTCTGTCCCCCCAGGCTGGAGTGCAGTAGAGTGATCTCGGCTCACTGCAACCTCTGCCTCAGGTTCAAGTGATTCTCATGCCTCAGCCTCCCGAGTAGCTGGGACTACAGGCATGCGCCACCATTATTCTTTCTTTTATTAAGTTAGACTGTCTGTGAAAAATAATTTACTTGACTACCATTGTTAGAAGGTTTCCATTTCTTAGAAGAAAGAAGTGCTTGTGAAGAAAGTTATTTCAGTTGCACATCTCTGATGAAATCTACTCCAAGCTAGTTAAATTGTTTATTTGGCCCAAGGGCCTAAAACCTGAAATACTACATTCTTGGCACAGTTCTAAGTTCTCACTATAAATGTAATACCTGAGGTTGCAGGAGGTCAAAGAAGAGGGAAAAACTTATTTTATGCCTGTTATTTCATCTTACCCTCTTGGAAGAAAAAATATTCTTGTTTATGTTTTGGGGAAATAATTAATTTGAATGATCATTTTAGTTCCAAGATTGAAATGGGAAAGGGAAGGTGATTTCATCAGATTTTTATGGAATATCTGCTATTTAAAGAAGCCATAGGGCCCAGCATTTCCACTCATAGGTATATGCTCAAGAAAAATGAAACATATGAAATTCTCAGCACAAGGAAATCTATAGAAATGAAAAGTATATTAGTAAATTGCTTAGGAATGGAGGGAATGGGGCGGGGTGAGGGTGGGGTGATAGCTAAAGGGTATGGTTTTGTGTGTGTATGTTTGGTGATGAAACTGTTGTAAAAATAACTGGTTGGTGATGGTTGTACATATCTGTGAATATACTAAAAACCATTGAATTGTACACTTTAAATGGCGAAGTGTATGATAGATGAATTTTATCTCAATAAGGCTGTTTTTATTTTTAAAAATATCAGGGGTTACAATGATTAATCCAAATGTGGACTTAGACAATTAACCTTCGCAAGAAGCACTTGTCTTCCAGTTTTAGAGTCCTAACACGTGTGTATAGAAAACTGAAGCAAAGGGAGAAAATAGTAGGTTTTATGGAGGTGATATTTAGCTGGACTGTGAGAATAGTTGGGATTTGGACCTTATAAGCAAAGGAAACAACTTAGGCAAAGACCAAGTGAGAAATGAATTACAAAGTATTTATAAAAATGTAACTGAATGGAATTCATTTTTTCTTGATTATAGAATTTAAGAATTTAGGTTAGACTAGTGGTTTGAGGCCAGCTTTGAATGTTCTTTAGGTAAAGTTTTTTATTTATTTATTTATTTATTTTTAGTTATTCTTTATCCCATAAGAAGTAGTGAGATTCTGAAGGATTTTGAGCAGAGCTGTGATATTACCTGAACTATACTTTAGAACGATGATTATGGTAACAGTGTTTTTTGAATTCCAGAAAAGATAGACTAGAGACTGAAAGAAGAAAAGGAGAGAGCATATGAATGCCAGAGAAATGGAAAAACAGATCAAAAGAAATATTTGAAGCAGAAATTTGGGATTAATTGAATGTAAGGGACAGGGAAAGAGAACAAATTTAATGAGAGGTGTATATGAGCCATTTAGGGCACAAGTCAAATAGATATTTGAAAATACGGAACTGGGGCATGGAATAGTAGTCAGTACTGTCTAGTGACACAGTATTACTTAAAACCATTAAATGGGCAGAAATTAAGATAGGAGTTTGCAATCACACAGAGGACTTGGGAAATCCTTAGAGGAACACATTCATTTAGGCATCAGAGAGAAGAGGAAGTATAACCAGAATAATTTGGAAAAACAGAAGACAGTTTCATGCAATCCAAGAGACATTTATGAAGAAGGAAATGGGGGTGATAAAATGGAAGAAAATTGAAAACATCCTTTAGGTGTAATGGATGAACTTCAGAAATATTATCTTCAGCCTCAATAGCAATGCACTATTATAGCAGAAAAGCAAACAAAAAAAAAGATAAAACTGAGAAGGCTTAATTCCTAGAAATCTTAGGGAGATAATTTTAGAACATATATAGAGCTTGGCAACCAAAGATGAAGAGAGTATGCATTTTAAGAAAAGTATATAAAAGTGGGCCAGACACAGTGGCTCACATCTGTAATCCCAGCACATTGGGAGGCTGAGGCGGGTGGATCATCTGAAGTCAGGAGCTCAAGACTAGACTGGCCAACATGGCAAAACCCCATCTCTACTAAAAATATAAAATTAGCCAGGCATGGTGGTGCATGCCTGTAATCCTAGCTACTTGGGTGGCTGAGGTAGGAAAATCGCTTGAACCCAGGAG